AGTTATTCCTAGGGTTCTACCTATGGGTCTTTCGGTGGGTTAGGGTTGAGGTATAGGTTGTTATGGCTTTGGTGCTAGGGGGTGGGGCATGGTTAGAACATGGAAATGGTCATTGCTAACTTTTAAGAAGTTTAGACTGCAGCTCATATAGTCTAATAGAGTACTCCCTGTAACACATGTCTTCATTCACTGCTAAGCACATCTAAGCACCAGGGAATCCAAAGCCCTCTCCTCAACTCCTGCACAGAGTGGTTGGCGAAGCCCAACGTCGCAACACCGGATTTGCAGTTCTCGGCACAGCTGATCAATATGACTTCCACATCCTGGCGCTCAAAGCTCAGCAGGCTTCAGGCATCAAAGTGCAGAATTGTGGGGTTGAGGGTTGAGGGGCCCTGAGACTAGAGCTTAGTGGACAATAGTTTTACCTTGGGGTTGGAATAGAATTCTCTGCAAACACATTCTGAGGGCCCAAATACCCAATCATAAGGGACTTGGGATTCGCGTACTAGGACATGTAGGAAGACTTGCGGGGGAAGCACATGAATGTAGATCCTTGGGCGCATATTCAAGAAGTCAGGAGTGCCAGAGAGGCATGGCTTTGTGCAAGCTTTTGTGCTGCGGGTCTGGAACTTCTGGGGAACTGAAAGTCGGGCCCTGTTGCAGAATCCCACTTCCAATACTTTGGTAAACAGAAAGATTTCTTTTTTGAGCACGAGTCCACATAGCCTTCAGGGTCCAATTAGACTACTCCGGTAACCTGAAATAAGTCTCTTTGGAAGCACCACCTTTGTGAGCAATAATCCACATAAGCTTCATTTGGGTTGGGGCCACGAGAAGCTAAACCCTAAACCCTAAACCCTAAACTCTAAACCCTAGGCCTGGTTCACGCTGTCCGGAAATTCTTTTTTGAAGGCAAGCTGGGCATCGTAGGTCTCAGTGCCCTGCACCGGCTGGAATGCGAACTTGCCTGCGCTTTAGGGTTTAGGGTTTAGGGTTTAGGGTTTAGGGCGCGCTTTTGCCGGCTTGTCATGGGCAGGATATAACGAAGCTATAAACCCATAGTTGCTATTGTAGATATACCCTACACCCTTAACCCTGAACCTCGTGTTTTGCATTATACTTATCTAGTTAGGGTAGAGGATGGGTTGCTCTTCGGGCGCGTGGCGCACGAGTTTACAACGATCTGAGTGACTAAATTCACACTCAGCACAGCAGAATGCCTCTAAATATGGGAAACGAGGGGTTTGATTGTGTAGAACAGGGCCAAGTTTGAGAAAATCCTATATTGTTAATACATGAAATCAAGTATTGTGCCCAAGGTGCAATGATCCACGAGCTGTAGGCCAAAGGGCCCAGAAACCGCGCCCAACAAAAGCCAACCTCAGGGTGCAAGGCTACCTGGAGGGTTTAGGGTTTAGGGTTTTTACCGCAAGTAAAGATACCAACATGCTAGGTACCGAAAGTAAAGATACCGACATGTTAGGCTCACAGCCCTTTTTGAGGTGTACTTGGGTTACCCCAGGGAGGGTTTGCCTTGAGCAAAAGCTTGGCCCCCAAAGCGCAAACCTTCCCTCCAGAATCCCAGTGCAGTCACGAGAGCCCTAGGCGAGGGTGTAGCAGTGTTGCATGGGGGTTAAGGGTTAAGGGTTTCTTGAGTTTTTCGGGGACTATCGGCAGCTTCATGAGTTCAACCTGAGCATAAAGACGTTAGAGCATTATTGCAGGCGTTGCGGGTTGCATGCAGGTTGTTGGATGGATTGCTCAACATTAGTCTTTCTTACAACTCCCCAAATCATTCTAGTCCTTATGGCAGGGTAAACCCTAAACCCTAAACCCAAAGGGACCCACAATGCTGAGATAGGTTCATAACGTTTGGGCACTCTTGGGGAACGCAACACAACTCCCTTCTTGATTTAGTCCTGGAGCTTCAGGTCTGAAATGCCCCTCGACCCGAGAAAAAAAAAACTCAAACCCCAAACCCAGAACCCAAAACCCTGAACTCAAAGCCATAAAACAAAAAAAGCCCAAAGCCCGAAGCCCAAAGCGAAATCTAAATCAAGCACCCAATGCCTTAAATCCAAAACCACAAAAAATCCGAAGACGGTTACCCAAAAGGGTGAACCTTGAACCCCAGGCTCCAAATCCAAAACTGTGGGGGGGGTGGGAGGGGTGTCACATCATGCCTCACCTTCGCACAGTGACTCATCTAAAATCCCTTCGAAATGCTGTCCTTGTTGATAAAAAACCTGGTCCTACTGGGCCTTATGGGGGGTGCTTCCTATGCGCGTTTCGAGTGCAAGTCACACCAAAACCGTAACAACATCACCCATGAACCAGCTCTGGTAATCGATTTCCTGAAACAAAGGAAGTCCTGTTGCTGACTCCCTAGGTCAAACGCGTCCACAAGTTTTCATTGTACTACTAGGTTCATAAGGACTTCAAATAACAGTGTAAACTTTATCTACCCAGTTGGTAAAGAACCTTGGTCTTGTTTTCCCACGCAGAAAAAAGCTTGCCTTCACCTCAGGTGGAATGCCATATCGGCCCTGTTGAAGAGGACTGTACGTTTTGTAAAGCCCCTTTTAGGCTTGCATGCGTGTGCGTCTTGAGCTTGGGAGGCCCTGGACCCTAGAGACATGCAGGGATCATTTTTGACATTCTTAGGGAGGGAGGGTGAATTCTCTAGGCGGGCAGCCGGCAAGTACTGTGCGCGGCCAGCGAATCAAGCCCACACACAGCTTCTCAAGCGCTTCCATGACGCTTTGGCGTGCAGAGAGTCTTGAATGTTATGTAGGTTATCATGCTCACTGAGAACAGCGCTGCCTACGTTACGCTTTGATAATACCAGTATTCTCCTCGATGCTCATTACCACTGGCCGCTCGCATCATATGAATGCAATAAGTTGCCTCAGTTGGCTGCAATCGCTATAGAGCAAGGGAGTGAATCCCCGGTCTACAAACAAGGTTGGTCTCCCTAGTGACAAGTAGGGCTACCAAAAAGGGCAGGTACAATCAGTCTGTGACAATGTAGACCTGAATCCGGATCCTAAACCCATGACCTCGGCCAGCATCTACTTGCTATAGCTTGGCTCCCTGATCCATTGAGCACACATGCCGCATGCCGTGATATACGACAGACATGTTCACTGTAAGACTCCCCCAGGCAGAACACGCGAAAGGGCGAAGCTAAATACCTACCTCAGAGCTGCTGACAACCCGAGCCTGAGAACTGCACGTATGTGAGAAAAGTGGCAACTCAACCCCCCATTATTTCTGTCATATACTGGTACTAGATTGGGGAAAAACAGAACATTTATTATTGAAGACATGGGGGGATTGATCATTAGGGGCAGTGGTTAGAGGCTCAAGTCTCAAAGCTACATGCCATCGGAAGAAGGGCCCAAATGACTTGAAGTGACTTGACTGCGCCCAAGAGGCTAGGCATAAGCGTGCACCAAACCCCTACACGCTGAAGAAAGAAGCCCCAATCCTCACCCTTCTGTACACGCGGCACTACTGATCAGGGTGGCTTGGCTCAGCAGTACCAATCTCTACCATTTACATGTCGTGCCTACATGTATTTTGGCATACATCGCTTCGTCTAAAGCCCGGGTAGCTAGGACAATTAGGGGCCCGCCTCAGATTCACAGCAACCCGGGCACTGCACTGGCAGGATACCACATGAAGCCCTGAAGTCATGCAGCCAAGGAATAGCCACAGCGCCAAGGCCACCACAAGTAAGCGCTCCAGCATGTTCATGAGCACCGTGCCATTCCTGGCATTGGCGTTGGCGTTCAGGATCGGAAGCTACTGCTTGATAATCTGCAAAGTGCGTAGATGAGGACCATAGATACTTGACCATGCACCTGTAAAGCGCTACATCCCTTTGCCCGAGTATTTGTGTTTGTGAACCCCAATGGATGAACCTGCGACTCTTGAGTGCCAACCTGTCAACGTCGGAACCGTAAGTGGCTTTATTTGCACCAATGATGCCTCTTGGAATTGACTGAGTGGTGGTGAGCGATGACGGGACGAAACAAATTTCTAGCAAGCACCTCCTGAAGCATGGGGCTCTTTCCAACCCCTAAGGGTCCAAGTACCTAACAATCTTATGCTTCCCCCAGACCTGCACTACTATTTTTAGCACTTAAGACCCAAGTCCCAACTCTTGCGTACTTGGACCCTAAACCTTTTAAACCCCATATAACCCTATATATCCCTATCCCTATAAATCCTTATGTATCTCTCTGAAAGGACCTAATATATTGGGAAGGCAATGAGATGATTTAAAACGATGGCAATGGCAAGCATGGATGGCCTTAACAAAGGCGGGGGGTTGGGGGTTGACAGCCCCCCCACTCGCAAACCAAACGATCTGCATAACCCTCCGTTGCTGATGACACGATGCTTTTTGTATTTGCTACAGCAAACTCGGAAGGCCTCAATGATGACGGAGGGGAGGGCAGCTCCCCCCCCCCACTTGCAAACGACATGATCCGCACTGTCTTCCCTGACTGCAAAAATGGCCACAACACTTTTTTCTATGATGGAAAATGATGGAGATGATGATTTTGATGAGGTATGTTAAGGTAATTATGATCAACAGCATGTCGATTAGGACAATTGTTCATGAAACCTGAGGAAAAGGATAAAACTATGGCAACTGGCGAAAACGGATGAAAATGATAAACACTCGTGGAAATTGCTGATCGGTGTTCAGAAATGATGAAACATGATGAAACATCATGGAGAGTCATGACATGATGTAAAAGATGAACAATGGCAAGCATGGATGGCCTTAACAAAGGCGGGGGTTGGGTGGGGCGCAGCACCCCCACTTGCAAACAAATCATCTGCATAACACTCCCTTGCGCATCTTCTTCTACTACTACTACTACTGCTACTACTACTGCTACTACTACTACTACTATTACTATTACTATTACTACTACTACTACTACTACTTGTACTTGTACTTGTACTTGTACGACAACTTCAGGAAGGTACAGAAAGCGACAGACCACGGAGCCAGAAACCGAAGAAGCCAGAGAGCCACGAAGCCAAGAAGCTAAAACACCAAGCAGCCAACAGAAAAGGCAGAAAGTCAAGTAAGTGATGAACATGATGGAAACGATAGGACAAATGATGAACATGATGGAAAGTTCATGGAAACTGAAATGAGGAGAAAGGCTGAACATGATGAGCAACGATAAACAAATAATGGAAATATGCAAATGGTGAAAAATGATGAAAAATGATGGATAATGATGGATAATGATGGACATGATGGAAAATTATGGAAAATTATGGAAATGGTGGAAACAGGCCAAAATGCGCAGATGCTCCCAGGGCAACCACCAAAAAAATCAAAAAAACATGTACAGAATATGCACTTCCTATTATACATCCCCTTGTAGGTCCCCTAGACCCTAAACCTAACTTTAGTCCGCAGCCGTAGCTTTGGCTCTGGCGAACCTAGTCACGATCTGCTTGAGGTTGAAGGTCTTCAACTTTTCCCTCTGCCTGGTTAGGTTGGGTTTAGGGTTCAGGGTTTAGGGCTTAATTTTCAGGATTTAGGGTTGAGGGTTTGGGGATTACACGGGTCCCGCGGTTGGGCTTTAGGGTTTCATTTTCAGGATTGAGGGTTGAAGCTCTTTAGGATTACACGGGTCCCGCATCCGTTCAACTACCAGGACCCTCCTACAAGAAGTACCCTTAGTTCTAAGAAAGGCATGTGCAATAAACATCGTAAATTGACAGAGAGGAATGGCGAGGCTATGCTGTATGCGCCTGAGTTCGTGTAGCCGTTGCAAAAACCAGCGGACGTTTGGCAGGGTATTTGGTGACGACAAAACTATGAAGGTTCTGATAACCATGATTGCAAGCAAGAATGGTTTAGGGTTTAGGGATCAGGGATTATCCCCTTCTTCGCTACTGGGATCCGCGGGGCAACAGGAAAAGATCCCACTTGCAGGCAAGCGTAAAGTGAAGAAAAATTAAATTGCCCAGGATTTTGTCAATGTTTTCTCCTGGGCAGGGGCCTGCAAACACAAAACTCTGAACCCTCAACCCGAAACCCTAAACTCACCCATTAACCCTGTCTATGGACAGGTACTTAGAAATCAGGCACGGGTCTGCTTTGAAAACTGAAGTTGTGGTTACTGTGGGGCCTGAATAGTTACCAACATCATGTTTATTGAGGTCTACCTTACACTAAGTACCCGGTACCATGATGGGTTTAGGATAACAGGACCATAAGATTGGCAGTCATTGATTTTCGCCCCATAATATGCTTTTGGCCAGTAGACCCTCAACCCTAAACCGGATTTCGCAGGTTGACAAGAGCCATAAGCCGAAACATTCTTGATTTGTTCAATAGTTGCAGAGGAAAGACGTCCACGACCCAAAGACATGCACTCTGATATAAGAAGAGCTGCAATCACTTCTCCCCAGCCCCGTATAGATCTTAACCCCAAGTCTTGACCCTCAGAATCTCCAATGAGAAGAGCTGAGTATCATCCACCAGGCCCCCCCCACACCTAGCCGCAAGTCATCCCATTGAGAGCCCACAACCCAAAAAACATAAACAGCTTTTAGGGATGCCCAACCCTTGAACCCATGTGGGGGGTTGTCAAAATTATGGTCCCTTTTTGGGTACCCTATTATAATACGGCACCTAGCATTTAGGGTACTCAAAAAGGGACCATAATGTTGACAACCACCCATGTAGGAATGGTACGCATGGCCAAGGTTTAGGGTTTAGGGTCTAGGTCTTCGGCTTAAGGGCTTTGGGTTTAGGGTCTAGGGTTTATGATCTAGGGCTTAGGGTGGACCCCCCATAGGAAATACCGATGCGTAATCGGCTACTGCCTCATCAGCCCCCCTTTTCTGGGCTCATCCAAAAACCTAAATCCGCAATGCACCTGCAAACCCTCCCTGAGAGTCCAGGTACCTAATAACTATTGCTCACAACCTGTATTGTAATTGCTATTTCCCAAATTTCAGGTACCTACTTATTGTGTACTTGGACTCTCTGTATACGCAGAAGCACCAACCTCCTCAGCCCCCAGTTTCCAAACCCTGTTATCCCTAACCCCACCCGGAGCTTACACACACAATGGGCGGAGGTCATTAAATAAAGAACACGAGAGAACTGCGACCCGTACAGCACCCTTTGTTATCGGTACATTCGTTACCCTAGGCTGGGTGGCTGTTGAAGAAAACATGGATCAATAGTACTTGCTCGCGCTTCCCTGCCGTGACAATCTAATCTTTGTTCCTTACCAGCCACCCTAAACCCTAAACCTTAAACTTCCCCTAAGGGTCCAAGTACCTAATAATCATATACTTACCCAAAACCTGTACTAGAATTACTATTATCCTAATCCCAAGTACCTAATTATTGGGTACTTGGACCCTAAACCCTAAACCCAATGTATACTCTTATATACCCTTAAAGATCCCTATTATATATCCCCTTTAAAGGGAACCTAATTATTGGGTACTTGGACCCTGAGGGTACGTGGGTAAAAGCACTCTGCTGAGCCCCGGGCGGCTCGAAAGCCGTCTTCAGATCGGAGAATGGGTCCGGCATGCTGCGAGACTTCACCTCCTGCCGACATGCGGTGTAGGGTTTCGGGCTTACGTTTTAGAGTTGAGGGCAGGTGTTGGGTTGAGACTTTAGAGTAAGTGTTGGGGGAATTTCTCAGAAAGGGGTCTGAAGGAACACTTGGGATATATGGGGATTACAAGGTGATGATGGGGGTCCTTATGAAGGCTTATAGGGGCATTACTTTCGAAACGCTCATGTGGGTAGGGTCTGTTAAGTTGGAATGGTGGAGAATCAGATGGACACTAACATGGAACATGATGTGGGAAATTGGCTTTTATCGGGGCTTACAGGGATCGTTATGAATAGCGACTAAGCTAGGCAGCTGCAGTAGTTCCCCAAAAATTGGCTTCCCAGTCTAAGACAGATTAGGTTCTCACGCTCAATATAGCACGAAAGAAGTACTCAAAATAAAAAAAAACCCTAAGGGTCCAAGGACCCAAATCATAGAGCTTTGGGGCCCAAATACCATTCAGATTATAGCAGTTGGGCCCTGAAACCCAGTTATTTGGGTCCCTGGACCCTTAGGGCAACGCACAGCTGTTTGAGCAGTTAATGTATAAATGACACAGCGACGGTGAGACTGAGGCTTCTGCGGTGCCCCGTCTTTTACGTCACGTCTGCAACGGGAAACCTAAGGGCCCAAGTACCTAATAATGATGTGCTTGCCCAACATCGGTATCATAACTGGTATGGTCAGAGTCCAGAGTATCTAGTTGTTGAGTACTTGGACCCTAAACCAAAGGCCCGAAACAATAGACAACCCGTTTAAATGGGCCTAAACCCTAAGCCCCACACCCTAAACCCTGAAGCCTGATTATAGGGTACTTGGAGCCTTGGGGGAAGGCTTGCACTTCAGAGCTGAGGCCTTCAAAAGATACGTGACTTAGGGTTTGAGGGTTTGGGGGCTTAAGAGTTTAGGGCTTTCAGGGTTTTTTAGTTTTAGGGTTTGAGGGCTTAGGGGTTTGGGAGTGTAGGGTTTAGGGTTTGGGGGTTTTAGGGTTTAGGTTCTGGAGCGCGAGGTGCTAGGCAAGCATGCGTGTCCCGTTGCTACTGCTGCTACTAATGCTACCGCTGCAGCTACAGCTGTGTCATCCCCAATAAGGACCTCCGTTAACTCCAGATAATTCCTACATATCCCCAGATTCCTCGGGGGCCTCAAACTTTGAGAAATCCACATACATGCATACATCTGTTCACATTTGGGGGCCTTGGTGCCTTCAGGCACACAATCTCAAAATTCGAAAGCTTTGGGTGCACCTAAACCCTGAACCCTAAACCCTAATCCCATAAGGTTCAAAGAGCAACGGCGACATTGGTTGAGGGTCTTCGGGCTTTGGATTCCGAAAGCTACCTTGACCTTTTAATGCAGTACTTCTTTGGGGTCCTTACCATAATAACAACCCTAAAGCCTAAACCCTAAACCCTGAACCCTCAACCCTCAAAAGCTACAGCAAACCCCAGCGTGTCCTGTGAACTAATCTTGGACGGTTTCCTGAGAAGAGCCCCTTTTGCAAAACACATGTTTCATTACTGTTTCATTGGTTTCGGGGCGGTTAGGGGTTGGGGTATACAAAAGACATATAGGGGTGGGCAGTTTACGCGGGAAGAATATCAGTAATGCTCATAGCTTCTGTTGCAAGGTTTAGGTTTTGGATGGTTCTTTTAAATCCTAGGTACTTGACCCTTAGTGTAATTACCCATCCCAGAGGGTCCATATATACAACTATTAAGGAATTAGGCCCCAAATTACCATGCTATAGAAGGAATTATGGGTCCCAATTCCCTAATGGTTGTATATGTGGACCCTCTGGGCATGGCTCCATGTAGCTGGAGGTTTCTGGTTTCCAGGAGGACTTGCCAGAGAAGGCTTCACACTTGCAGTCCCAAGGGGTCCCCGCATACGTGCTTCGGGTAGGGTTTAGGGTTTGGGGTTTAGGGTTTCGAGACTAAGTCTAGACAAGTACCTTATTCTGGCCTTGGGTTAGCTAGCAACGAAGGAATGGATCCTTATAGTAGTCCCTATACATATAATCTATGATAGTAGTTTGAATTTCCTTCATTCCCAGCTAGCCAATGGCCAGTAATACCATGTACAACCCCTCAAGTTGAAACACCGCCTGGGGCGTTGTCAAAATCATGGTCCCTTCGGGTCACAAATCTTAGGAGCCGTATGATAACCCTTTTGACCAGGTATCTGTAAAAGGGAAGGGAGCCAACTTGCATCTCAACTTAGGAAAGGGCATCCTGTTTTGGATGGTATATGGTAGTTTCGCAAAACAAAGTGACCCCAATATAGAGCCCAAAGTACTATAGTCCTTATTATTGGGACCCCCAAAGTGGTACCCCTAATTCTGGAAAACCACCATAATTATAGGGTTTAGGGATTAGGGTTCGGGTTTAGGCCCTTAAGGCTGGAAATGGTTAACTACCCAAAAGTGATTCCTACAGGATGGGGCCCCATACTTTCATAAATATACTTATGAGTCCCGCAACTGAAGAAGTTCATAGGACTTGTAAAGTTGTGGGTTGAGGATTTAGGGACTTATAATCATACTCGGCCCCTCCTTGTAGTCTAGCACCTTCAAATCATCTTGGCGAGCGCCCGCACACCGAGGCGAATGCACAATTCACAAAAGTCGCCCAAACCCGAAACCCTAAACCCTGAACCCTAAACCCTACACCCTGTACCCTAAACCGAGCTATAGTCTAAAGTTCTAGTATGCCCCTTAATAAGCCCTTTAGTGCTCCTAACCTGTGTGGATTTGAGGCTTTGGAGGCTTGGTATCCAGAGGCTCCAAATAGCCCAATCCAGCCACTTTCTGTAGACTTAAGGGCCCAAGATGTAGGCATTAATTAAGTACAGGGTTGGAGCCCTAGGGTCTAGGTTTAGTCAGATGCGCCATCGAACGTCTACAGGGTGAGTAGACTGAAATCATGGAAGGCTGAAAGTGAAGAATCGAGCACGCCACGTGCCGACATGCCGAAACAAGGCGCCGACATTCAGAAGTGTTCTGCCAACACGTATCAATTTGTCAAGCCGACAGGACAAATTCATAAGGACCCCAACCTGCCGATGGCATCGACCCTCTGGCTCACGAATCCATAGACACCAAAAAAAAGAGCTGGGTGGAAGCCTCGAAAAGTAAAACTCGAGACCAAACCCCCCCCCCCCCAAGCGCAAAGCCTCAATCCCTAAATCCTTCCTTCACCCCAAGCCATGAATCCTCAATCCTGGTTCCTAAATCCTCAGAACCCTGACCTGAACCCTAGATTCAGGCCATCTCTGAGCGTAATGCTGCGTTGACTGCGGCGGAGAAGAAGCATAGCCGCCACTCTGCTGCCTAGCAGAAAGGAACCACGGACGTTTGCAACGCAACAGTGTGAGGGGTTGGGAGTATAGTCCCCCTTAAGTAGATAGAATATGGAATATATGGGGATCTTATTATAACATATCCAAAGCCATATTCTAGCTACTTAAGGGGACTATATGTTGTAGTTTTGCACAATAGGAACTATGAGGGCCTCGCCTTGGTGCTGGTTTGTCGTTTTTGCCAAAATGTCTGAGCTGGAGCTACCGTCTCTTACATGCTTTGGGGACACTGGCTTTTGTTGGAAACCATACAGGTTTCACTAGTCTTTCGGAGTGTGCCAACGCTTGCAGAGCATTCTCCAATTTGAGGGGGGCGCTTCAAAGAGACCATACCTCTGACAGACGCCAATAAGGCGTTTCCCCAATAGGGGGAACCCCAGCATGGATCCAAAAATACTATAATCCTGTTCGTGGGGACCACCCAAAAGGTACCCCTAATCTTGGGAGGAAACCCTGCATCAGATACGCTTAAACCGATCTTAGGCTGAAACCTTGCGGGTTTAGGGTAGGTTAGGATTTGGACCTAGGGTAAACAGAATCGAAGAGCACTCTAGAAGGAGCCCTGGGAGGGTAAGTGCTCTTTGATTTCTTGGGTTTATATCCCTATTATGATCATAAAATCCTAACCTGGTTTAGAGTTTAGGGGGCTTCATGCTTTCCTCAACCTCAAACTCTCGACCTGAACCGTTTGGAGGAACAGCTTGAACCCTTGATGGAGAAGACCCTAGGGATCCAAGTATACAATAATACCTACCCCTAAGGATCCATGTACCCAATAATTAAGATACTTGGGTTTTGGGGAATAATGATTTTAGTACAGGTTTTGGTCGAGTATAATTATGATTATTAGGTACTTGGACCCTTAGGGTACATTGGGCCCTAAAGTCTTTTCAAGTTGCTTGTCCATGTGATGCCCCATTATTAGGGTAGTGCATTGGGCGCTCTGAGGCCCCAACCTTTCCGACGAGGAATGCGCGGGAGGAGACCTCAACAGTTGAAGTCGTCAAAACCGCAACCCTGAACCCTAAGTGGTAGTTTCCCAAAATAAGGGGACCCCAATATAGACCCCAATATACTATAATCCTTATTATGGGAACCCCCAAAGAAGGTACCCCTAATTTTGGGAAACCCCCAAGTAGGAAAGCCTGAGGGTTCAAGTACCCAAATAGGACACGATCAGGCTCCAACGCATGCATGCGGGAGACCCTTGGGACCCGTCGTATGTACCATACAGATAGTTGGACGCTTTGAGCAAAAACTGGCTCTAGGGCTTTCAAGTTTAAAGATCCTTGCGTAACTCCTACCACGCCTAGATCATCCCACATAATCATACCTGTATCGGACTGAACTACTGTTACCAGAACGGAGAGATTTATGCAGGGACCGGTATTGCAAAAGGAACCTGGAACCCCACTATGGTGACCCGTATTATCATGGTTTTGGGGAAGCCCCCACAAAATAATTCGGGTTGCCCGATTGCTCTAAATATAGCTACGCGTACTAGGCCATATTGATACCGGATCCGTGCCAACCATCATTTCTGTCTTCTCAGGGGTTTGAAACGTGGCGCTCATGTTGGAATGCCCCCTGAAATTTTGGATGCGCAAGAAGCATACACGGAACATGAAGCTGAAGTTATTATGCTGAAAATCCCTAGAGGTCCTGTACCCTTAAGACTTTAACCTCAAAACCAGAAAGCCCAAAACCCTTGAGCCCTAAAACCTTGAACCCCGAACTCTGAACCCTTGAAACCTTAAACGCTGAAACCTCCAGGCCTGAAGCTTAAAACGCAAGCACGCGCGATCCATACGCCATAAGCCGACTTCCGCTGCATGAGCTTGTCTGGTTTGGCGTTCGTTTCTATCCCTGAACTGAAAGTTTAGGCTTTACCTGGACCCCAAACATATGTAAAATAACGGCCCTTTTATGCCTGTTATTATGGGTTTGGGCTATTATTTTACATACTTTTGGGGGTTAGGCAAGTGATTATGGTGTAATGTTGGGATCTGAATACGTAGCATCCAGGGTACCTGCTAGCATCTCATGCAAGAATTGTTCAGGAATAATCTTGCTCAGTATTCAAGATGCTATAGGCTGAAAGCAGGGGTACCCCGCCCGTAAGTATGTCCGCACTTCACATGGTGATGCGTGCGTGCACGTCCTGGTAAGGAATCAAGTAAGGATTGTTTGGAGAACAATTTCTTCCCACATACTTCCCAGAGTCCATACCTGCGTTCACGAACATCATCTCGGGTACTGGAAACCGAGCCTGTACTTTCAGCCAACTTCCACCCCTAAACCCTAGACCCTCAAATTTCATCCCTAAACCCTCCAGAGCAGCAATTACTTGACAACGGGCCCTGTGTGGCAGAGTAAGGCGTGCGCATGGCTTGCGGAGATCGAGGCTCCTCAGCAACTGCCTTTATGTTCAAAGGTTTTACTGTAGACCCCTGATTAATAACCCCCCTCCTTTTGAAGGCCTTAATATTTGGATCCCTATTACAATCCCTATTAAGGGGAGGGGGGTTAATCATCAGGGGTCTACATTAAGGTTTCAGGGTTTGTTTGGGGTTGTAGGGTTTTAGGGTTTATCTAGGCATAGGATTTATAGGGATTGGGGAAGCAAATCTAACATACTGTAATGGGGGTATACATGAGGATCACGTAGGGATACTCGGCAACTTCCTTGTGACAGTAGCTCATATTACACCTTAATCCCCGTAAACCCCAATGAGCCGGAACCCTTTCTGGGGCTTTAAGAGGGTCTCAGAGGTTATGGGTGAAATATGGCGACAACCTCATTATGTATGGGATATATAAGGAGTACATCGGCGAGCCGAAAGTTTTGAGCTACTTGACCGCTCTGTATGTATACTGGCATACAAAGATCTTGCGGAGTAGCGGGGGGATGCGGTTTGCAATTTATTGCCCTGCTAGTGCTACGGCATTTTAAAAATGATGTACTTTTAATTTCCTGCGGAAGCCGCGGCCGTAAGTCCCAGTGACAGGAGTCTACGCGCGAAAGGGGTTGCTGTCATGATTCAGGTGGAGTAGCTTTACTAGCTGTTTGAGAGTGGGTCCAACTGTTGGCCCGATGCCAAAACCCTAAACCCCAAACCCAAGTAGAATTATATGGGTGTTTCCCGATCCCCATAATAAAGACAATAGTATATTTGGAGTCTATATTGGGGTACCCCTATTTTGGGAAACTACCATATATACAACAGCTTTACGAGCCTTGGACCCTACATCGTTTAGGGTTTAGGGTTTAGGGTTGAAGGTTTTAGGTCTAGGGTTTAGGTTTCAGGGTTTTGGATTTAGAGCCTGTATAGGGTTCAGGGCTTACCCAAAAACACACCCCAAAGCTTAAAACTCTAAGCCAACAAAGCTACAGCCAAAGCCCTGAACACCAAGCCATACACCCCACACCCTAACAAGAAACCCAATACCTCAAACCCTGATCCTCAAAAGCAAGAGCCCTCAACTCAATTGTGTGCCTCCAGCGTCGACGCAAAAGCTAAGTTAGCAGTGACTGGGCGGTACTGCACAGATCCTGCTGCACAGCTGTATCAGGGTTGATGGCATAGGCTTCACTTTGAGGATCGGGGGACAGAGCATGTAGGTTACAAACGGGATCGTAAGCAGACTAACCCGCATTAGGGCAATCGCAGCGCACACTGTTGCAAATGTTGGCTCAAAGCACTTGAGGTGACATCATTTGAGTTATTGTCTAACCTCCTAATATCCCCGCTAATGGCCCCTACAGTCCTCCCCTATACGATCCCCTATGTAACCCCCTGTACGGAGCTCAGACTGTAGCTGATTTGTGGAATGGCTGGCTGGGACTCGGCAGCTCCAGCTGTACCCTTGATGCTTAAGCGGGTTGTGACAGCCAGAGGGCCCAGGTATCCAATAATTAGATACTTGGGAGTTAACTGGGTAGCAGTAACTATAATACAGGTTTTGGGTAGGTATATGCTTGTTAGGTACTTGGACCCTTAGGGACAGAGGATGACAAAGGATAACTTACCTGTATTAGGAGCTGGAGTCTATAGATTTGACCTACAGTTTTTGAAATTTGAAGCCCTAGAGTCTGGGCTCAGGGCCCCGGGCTTAGGGTTCAGGTCGCGCATCTTTGCCTCAACCACAGTCATGATACCTGCTGGTGTGCAAGCGTTTGAGAAGCCTTGCGCGGGCGCCTAAAACAAACATGCTGGCTCACTACCCAAACCCTAAAACCTAAACCCTATAGTAAACCCTAAAACCTAAAACTCCAAACGCTAAGCTCAAGCTGCTGACCCTGGAGCCCAAATCCCAATCTTGAATCGGGGTGGAATACAGAACTCAAATCCCAACGACCCTTGTAAGTCCCCAGAATAGTCAGACACGACACCTTTGCGCAAAATCCGCATGACAAGGAATTATAGCGCAAGAAATGAGACACTCTCAGCTATCTCTAAAACATCCACGTACCATTCAGAAGGAATGCTCCTGCATCAATGGCTGAGTCGGCACCCAGCAGCAGGATCTTGGCGGTGGACATTCGTTCCATTCGAGAAGAGGATTGACTGGTTAGGGTTAAGGGCACTTAAGCGCATGTAGGCCTTCTTGGAAGGCAACTTTGCCGCTGGCAAAGCTGAGGTTGATCCGGTTCCAATGCGGTGTACTGTTGTTAACAAAGGTTGCGCATTCCATACTGGATTGTATAAAGGAAAGTAGAGTGTCCAGTTACATAAAACGAAGACCCAGCTGAACAAGGGTAAACGCCTATGAGTCAATCGGCATTGGTTCTTCGGCCTCGCAAAGTTCAAAAAGCCGCCACTGATTCTTTCAAGAACCCAAAAAAACCACACGATAATCTCGAAGACCCCATGCCAACCCGAATAAAAACTTCAGCATATCCTGTATCCACATGCATACAGCCAGGGACAGCGAGACCCAGCAGGCTCGACGCAATCTCCGACAAAGAAACGGGATGCCCACTACTGCATTCCTTCTCAATACCCAAGCGACTTGGTGACTATCAAAACTGGTGCATGTCAGCAACTTTAAAAAAGCACTTCCCCCATACACACGCATTGAATCTACAACCCAGCATTTGGATCGAGGTCACGAGAGGTCACTGCAGTTTGCCCAGATAGTAACATGTACTGAACCCGGATGTGCCTTCATCAGTGCGTTCTCCATCTTGCGGAGGGTCACCTGCAGCATGACAAGAAATGTTGACGGAGCTTCGTAGGGGCTTCCTGAACCCTAAACCTACACCGTGACCCTGCGCTCTAAACCCTAAACAAGTTCTCACACATGAGCTATAGTCTAAACTCCTTCTAGCCCCCTTGAAGCCCTCTAGTAGTAACCCCACATGATACCCTGTATAACCCCCTTGACGGAGTTTAGACTCTAGCTCACACATGAGAACCCCTCCCAGGAAGCAGGAAAAGGCCCCTGCAGTTCGCTCAATACGCTGAAGCTGCTCTGGAAGCTGAGCGAATCTTCGAACTCTGCTTAAGTTAGCCATAGTCTAAACTCCTTAAAGGGGTTATATAGCGGATTGTTTTGGGTTTATGGTCTAAACTCCTTAAAAAGGAGTTATATTACAGTGGACTATATAGGGGGCTATCATAGAGGTTATTAAGCGGGATACTAGGAGTTTAGACTATGGCTGACATAATCTGCTAGTCTAAACCTTGTTGGCGAGCTTCTAGGGTACGCTCAGTGGAGCGTATAATTTCCCTCCGAGACTGCTTTGTGAAGAATGCCTACCTCAACTGCGAGCTGCTTAGGGGGTTTCCTTTCCCAGAGGGTTCAAGTACCCAACGATGCCTCATCTGCAACGTAAGCACAACACAACTCCTGGACTGCTGGTAACTGGTGTGCAAGTCTGCCTGCCGCTCAAGACAGATGCTATGGGGTTTTCCCACAAGCGGGGATACCTTTGTTGGGGATCCTTTTTTATGGACTATTTTGTATATTGGGGTCTATATTGGGGTACCCTAACTTTGGGAAACTACCCTATCATCCCACAGAACCCAATGGCCCTCGAACAAAGGATATACCAAAAATCATATCCAGGACCCTAACATCATTAAGGGCGTACTCCGTAGTTATGGCATCTTGGGCCCAGAGTAATGGGTACTTGGGATTGGGCAATAGTAGTTATAGTACAAGATTTGCGTAAGTATATTGTATTTAGTACTAGGGCCTTTAGGGACATGTAAAGCTGAACCCGAGACTCTACACCCTAAAGCCTACACTAAACCCGCAACCCTAATCCCTCAACCCTCAACCCTAAACCCCTAAACCCTAAACCCCTAAACCCTAAACCCCAAAACCGCTGCACCCTAAACCCTAATCCCGAAACACTACGTGCCACCCTGGAGCCTAAGCTCCAAACCCTAATCCTTAAACCCACGGAATGACACGATTTGGGATGGCGGAGTCTTCTCGGGATGCTCTGCCTACATACACTGGGGTGTAGGGTTTAGGGTTTCGGGATTAGAGTTTGGGATTAGGGTTTAGGGATTCTAGTGTCTTGGCTGTACACAGGTGAACCAGAACGGGTTATTAGACCTTGCAATTTCCTACAAGCACCCAAATGAGGGTGGACTCAGATGCTCATAAAGTCCAATAGTCCATCCTGGAAGAAAGCCAAGCCAGAGTTTTCGTCCAGAAATGCATGGCTTACAGGCTTCTTTGGTCGTGCTGCAAATCAATCGTATGCCCCACGAAGTTTCATTTTTTCTCACACTGAACCCTAAACCCTGAAACAGGACTGTCTGCAGCCCCAACACGCTGGATTGCTTTTTGAAGTGATAGTTGTTGAACGTCACAACCTTAACGGTCCAAAAACCTGCATCATAGTTACTCGTATCCTAACCCGAGGTACCTAATTACTGGGTACTTGGACCCTTAGGGAAAAGGAAGCCGATGTTCGCTCTGCTCATCACGCGCGATGTGAGGTTAGCTAGCCTACCCAGAGGGTCCAAGTATCCAGTAATTAGGTACTTGAGATTTGAGCAATAGTAATTACAGTACAGGTGCTGGGCAACCCTAAGCACTAAGCCCTAGGTACTTAGACCCTTACATGGCTAGTCAAGGTCATGCATGCGCAGCTGGGACTCAAACATTCTTATGCGCGTGCAGGCATTTGTATGCATCTCTTTACATAAATAAAGTTCTGGCTGCATGTAAAGAATAGGAAGAAGGGGACTCCCACATTCTTGTGCCGCCTTGTCCATGACGTAAAATGCAACCTCATCCGCTCCGGCATCCTTGACCTGAAGTTGGGGGAATTGCAAGATTTGGTGTTGAAGCTGCAAGGGTAAGAAGCGTCTCAAAAGATGCACCAGCAAGTGTAACTGAAAGCAGGAAACAAATACTTGCTTGGTGTTGCTTGGATTGGTTTTCAGGGGCTCAGCTTGGCAGAGCCTAGAGTCCCCCTTAAGGAGATAGAATATTGGGTTTATGGTTTAGGGTTTAGGGATAGACTATGGGGTATATGAGGATTTTATTAATGATGTACGCAAAGCCATATTCTATCTACTTAAGGGGGACTATCTACGCTTCATCACCACTTCTTGAGGATGCCCAGTCTTACCCGATGACAAGCTGAAGATACAATATGACCTATAGTGTCTAAACTAGTATCCCCCTTAATAAGCCATACTGTTGTCCCCTATGTAATCCCCTACATAACCCCCCTTAAGGAGTTTAGACTATAGCTCACACGAGGTATCCGAAAGGGGTCGCATACTAACACAAAATCTGAAGCCCCAGCCTCTGGGCAGGCCGAACAAAAGCCATGACCGGGCCTGAGGGTGCGCGGTGTCATGCAGGAAGCGCCACAAAGCCCGCATCACCTAAAAAAGCAAGGATTTGGGGTCAAGGGTCAAGGATTTGTAGCCGAGGGAGCGGGGTGAGGGATTAGGTCTAGGGCTTTATATGGTGCGAGGTTTGAGGCTACTCAAATCCCATTCGCAGGACTATTTCAACTCTATGAACCATAAAACTGCACTCTCGACCCGCCTGTGCCACAAGCTCAGACCCTCCGGGAGGTAGCCGACCCGTGCGGGTCATCGCCTGCTGCACCTTCCGCAGCGTCAGAGTTTCGGGTTCGGGGTGTAGGTTGGGCTGTAAAGTAGGGGTGAGAGTGAAGATGGACTTCTGGGTCTAGGGAGCAAGACAAGGAGCATAATGGTAGGGCTTGAGGTAGACTTTGTGGTCTCAGGGTAAGACAGTACGGTTTAGAGCATGAGCCAGACTTTCGTGTTGCCTGGCAAAAGCCATGGGATGACAACGTAAACATGAAGACTGCTGGCAGCAACACCAAGTCTCAAACAGCATACTTTGCCGACTTAGACTTTAGACCTACAGTAGGTACCCGTTCTAGACCTAGGCTCCGAACTGCAGGCTGCGCATAGACTGGATGGCAGCCGGTAAGGCCAGGGGTTCAGGAAGCGTTGCACATGCTACGCACTTGGCAGTCAGTAGCCCACCACCACCACCACCACCACCACAACAACAACAACAACAAAAAGAAAATACAACTTTGGAGTACGTCGCCACAGCTTGAAACACCTTAGCCAAAAACTTGCAAACGCTCAGAGAAACCGCTTCACATTAATTCTGTACAGTCCAAAACCGATCCCAAGGTACAACCCCACACCCTGCCCTGAATGCCCGGAACCCCGAACCTTCTAATCAAACCCCTTTGCGGGCTTCATGGATTTTCCCGAAGGGAACAGGTACCAAATAATTCGTTACTTCGGTTTTGGGTAATTAATAATAGTACAGGTTTTGGGCCAGTATATGCTTATTAGGTCCTTGGACCCTAGGCCAATCTAACCGTTAGGCTTACGACCAATGTGAAGTGCTGCAAGTGGCAAATTGCGGGTCCACAAAAAGCTACTGTGCGCGGCGCGAACATTCAAGCAAACCTCGAACCCTCAACCTCAAGCCCTAGGGCGTAGAATACTCCAAACCCTCTAACCCTGAGCACGAAACTCCAGACGCGGAACCACCGAGCTGCTTTTAGGATTTAGGGTTCAGGGTTTAGGGTTTAGGGTTCGGGGTGTCTCAATGAGGGGGTGCGCTGGTGCT